CCATTTGGAAAAGATCTCAATCCTCACCAAATTCACTACAGTAGAGTAAGTGTTGGATTAAAGCATACAGTGGTATTTTGAGTTAGGCTCTGAGAGATGGCAGGGCGAGGGATAGAAGTCCAGGAACAAGCAGAGGGAAGCAGATAGCTCCAGTAATGCTGCGGAATATTGTGAGGAAATGCTAGCTACAAGAAGAAAATTAAAAGGCCTTGATTTCTGCCAGCACTTCCTTTGGGTTTGGGTCCTAAATGAACAGAAACTCCTGATCGCTCTTCTGAAGGAACTGACTTTAACAAGACATTCCTTCTCTCTGATGACCTGAAATTAAAACACAGTGTTTTGCAAGGTAGAAGTGATGGTTTCACAATGCCTGGCATAAAGTCTGCTCTCTGCAATACAACAGGTAGGGGTGTCAGCCTGAGCACTCAGGGTTGGCCATGCTCAGATTTAAATGCCCATTTATTACTGTGTCTCCTGTCATCTCTCCTATCCCATCAATCTTAGTGAATCAGCCTGTTTGCATCTGAAAGACTTGCACTGACAGTAAAGTATACGCAGCCAATCCATGGATTATTACTAGTGTTGGTATATGCTAATTATATACCGGGTAATCATACTAGAAAACATGTGGAACAGCTTTCAAACTCCTTGTGCTATTTTTAGTAAAACTTGGATATAATTACTTTGCGTTCAGTTACTGGCACTGCAGCTACCCCTTTCTGCTATATTTATAGATTTAAAAAAAAACATTGTTGAAGGTAATCGGCCAGGACATGTGCTCTAAACAAGAGGCTAATCCTAAAGTGGCCCATGTTCTCACCGTGCAATGCGAGCAGATCACTGTGTGATGGCTGCTCCTTTTCTCTCTCGGGCAGGTGTGCATTGCTAACCAAAGGCCAGAGCTTTTGCTTCAACACTGAGAGTGGAACACTTGCATACCTTAATACACCTAGGGATTCTGCAGCTGAGTAAAAGACCCTGTAACAAAACCGCAAGGGAGATAAAAATCTGCATCTCAACTCAGTGGTATCAGTGCTACTGAAAAGTTTTAAGGCCTGAACCTACCGTAGCATTCCCAAAGGCATTTCCCTTGGCACTGCTTGATCAGCCAAGACTTGGCAAATAATTTAGACTTTGTAGGAATTTTACATCTATTTCTGAAACAGTTTAACTGCATCTTGCCTGTGATGATATCCTTTCAGGAGTGGAAATTACTGTTTATGATGCACTCCCTGAATAATAATTTCTCAAAATAATCTTGTCATCATCTAATTGAAACAATGATACTTGCAAGTAGGAAATCACTAGTTACTGTGCAAACTGATACTCTGTCAGCAGTGCTGATCATTCATTACGTATGTCTAGGCTCACTGTTGCTGGCTCTAAGTTGAGCCCCAAACTCTTATCATATTGATTCAAAATTGCCACTCTTCCAGGGGGAAAAATCAATATCCCTCACTTCATATGTCACAACTGAGCGTAGCTGTTTACCACTGCATTGCAAATAGGGAGTTTCTTCCCACTCTGCATTTGGGTCTGCATTTTAAATAAATGACAACACATTTGCATTCTTTTTATTTATTTGAACACTATGATTTAAGAGCCTAAATGCAAGTTCTTCCCTTTATTTCTGCAAGTAGCACTGCAATCATAACTTACAAAAATGTTTAAAATACAAAATGTACATGAAATTACAATACAAGGCTCTGTAAACATCTAGAACTTAATCTTTATTGTCCCACATTTTTAAATATAAAACTTGAATTTGAACGATTTCCGAACCTCAAGGAATGACATCCATTATGAGTATCAAAAATAGAGTTTCAAAGCTTTGTTTGTATCAGAACAAAACTCATGCTATTTTCATTCTTTGGTTTAAAAAGGATGGCAGTTCCCCTGACAACATGAAAGTTTTACTATAGAAATTCAGATTGCTAGTTTACGGTAATTTCAGAAATCACCCCCTCCCCCCAGATTAACAGACTACCCCTTAATTTTTTTTTTTCAGCATTGATCTTTGACCCTCCTTATAGAAAAGCTACCTCATCATTAAGGCTTTCCTTCAGGATAATCTGAATTATTAAAAAGTTTTGGAAAAGTACTCAGAAAGAAGAAAGGACTTAAGGGCAAGGAAGTGGATGCCAACAAAAGATCAACAGTTGCCAGGTTCTGTTGTTTAATTAAATTTGCATAGTCCAATAGAGATTGTGTGCTTTTTATATCACTAAAATTATACAAGATTAACAGTCTTTACCTACGTTATCACACAAGCTAAAATAAAATTAAGACCCTTGTATTGAAGCTTTTACAAGGCAAATACAAAACTGCTTTAGTATCCAAAGCTATATTTTTTTATTTCATTTTTAAATAGGAAAGCATCTCTATGTCTACAGGCATCAAGGTATTTAAAGGCATCAGAAAATTTAGTGCATAGCAACCCCGGATTGTTTGGGCTCCTACATTTTAGGTACAGTGTGAATTCCAGCTACTTGGAGAACTTGCAAGGAGAGTCTGTACCAGTAGGATAAAGGAGCATAAATCCCATACAGTATGAAAGCTTTTAAGTTAGAATTCTCCTAGAAACAATAGTTAATGCAAAAGACCCAATAAATGAATGAAAACTGGAACATGCCTTGCCACCAGCACACAGTCTGAAGACAATTACATAGTTTACAGTGGGGATGGTGTGTGTGTGTGGGGTTTGGTTTGTTTTTGGGTTTTTTTTTGGTTTTTTTTTTTTTTTTTAAGATGTTAAAAAGGTAAGTAGATGTCTTTCTGAGCATGTGAATCCTTTTCTAGAATCTTTAAAGTAAATGAGTAGAGGACAGAGTAAAGCACCATCGCTGAGGGACAATTACAATATCACACTTTTCAGATTACAGCCCTGCCAATTTTTTTTTCCTGTAAATTTAAAGATTTGCACCATTGAATAATATATTCACAAAAAGGATGCTTAAGATTCCCAGCACACACCTAGTGGCCTTGCATTAAGTTGCTCGAAGTAACTATGAAACATCGATAGTAGCCTTAGGCTGCACTCTTAAAAGGAAGTACATGACAAAAGAGTTGTAATTTCACCCGGTTAATGTATAGTCTTTTAAAAAGTTCATGATTCAGCTATTACAAAGATGCGATTACAGCTACTTTAATGGTATAGCTTGGGCGCTGACTTAAATTTTGGTGTAATGTTTTGCCTGCAAAAGGCTCAATGGGAAAGTTTTCCCCATGACTGTCTGCCAAAATGCAACATCAGTAGAGTCTGTGTTTACTCTTACAGGTATTGTAATTCAGTAAGGGTATCCACTTTAAGACCATTTTACTGCAATTTTAAGAGTCTACAGCAATTTTCTGCAGAAAGAGGCATGTGCTCCACACGTGTTAAGCCACTAAAATGTCCACAATTGTCTGAACTAGCTTCAATGCAAATACACTTTCTATATTTCAAAATTGAGTGTACGCGCTCTTAGTTTTCGTTAGAGCATCAGAGCTCAAACAAAAGAGGAACTAAAACTAACATCTTAAAAGTTTTGAGGTTCAGTGTATTTCTGTTCTTACTTTGCTGTGATTGTTGTACCCTGTATGTTCCATATCAGAAAGCTTTGTAAACGACAGTGTCTTCTGAGGGAGGGAAATGTTTGTGGCCTAAGCAGGCAGTTTCAGATCCCCTCCTAGGTTTCTAATCATAGAGGCCTGAGATTTTTAATAACTGTGTAAACAGATTGTTTCAAATGTATCAGATTATGTGGGTAAGGGAAACGCATCCTTTGAGCACAGCACAAAGTTTACTGCTGCTACAAATCTTGTGTATTTCTTTGGTAGCCTCTGCTTCACACGTTTGCAGTTAAACGTGGGCAAATCATACTACCTAATCGCTAATTCACAGTAAATTACTTTTTAGCACACTGAAGTTTATAAACAGCTTAAATTTAAGGAACTGTAATTGTCACCTCCATAGGACTTCCAAGTGGCATGGTCAGGCATACAGCATATAAAAGGTACAGATGTGATCAAATGATTTATTGCATGGAAAACTTGAATGCCACCGAATTGGCAATTTCAAAACCATATTCTGTAGGGATAACAGGAACACTTAGATCCTCAGCAAATATCAAAATTTCTCCTGTATCTAACATGGCTTTGATGTTGCTGTTCTTTAATCTAAAATCCTACTGCTCAAATTTGATTACAAATGTAACTTTCTAAGAAAAAGCTATTTCAAGAAGGAGCCTGTGCTAATAAAGAACAGGAAGGTTATCCACAAAGTTATAAAAGGTAAATTTTGGAATGTCATTTCTATCCCAACACTTTCATGATGGAATGGTCTTTTTGCAGCCTATCAAGTAACATTTTTCAGTTTATAAACAAGTGCAGATCTACATTTGGCTTTGCTTCCTATGAATCTAAGAAAGAAAACACTACAGTATTGGTATACACAATGGCTTCCATGGCATTGGCTTCAGATGACAGGTATGATTCGCCACTGGAAGATCATATTAAAAAAAATTAAACAATAGAAGCTTTAAAGGCTTTCCAAAATGACCAAAAGGTGTTACAAATCATCAGTTACAAACTATACTATCTCTAAGGGAAAGCAGCACACTGAAGATGGGTATTAAATCTTTTTCCACATTCAGTACTGTGAATATTATAAGAGCAAACTAACATCTCCACACATCTGAAGCACTTACAATATAAAAGTATTCTATTTAAATGCAAAAAGCAAAGCTTGTTTGTAACTTTAAAACAGTTAAAATATCTGGTGTAGATTCTGTGTGTCCATTTTAAGAAGTCTCTTTACAGCATCTGAGGAACTACAATTAAAATGCTCTGTCTCTACATCAAAAATGTAACCCACTAAAAGGGCTTTGCAAGGATCCACTGTTCCAGTTCATAAAGGCCACAGAGTTGGAAGCACAGTAAGTCTAAAGAGGAAGAGGACGAAGAAATACTCAGAGAGAAACTATTAAGTTTTCATGGATGTTTAGTTGTAAGCTTATCCGTTACTGGATTCCATCAGATATCCTTGTCTCCAGAGATCCAGGACATGTACGTGCAGACTGGCTGGCCACTGTTGTTCCATGTGACACCGAGATCTGTGACATATCTCTTCCTATGATCTCATTCACTAAAAAAAAAAAAGAACAAAAAAGTGACTGTTTTTATGCTTTCCAAAAGGTAGAACTCATCAGTGTATCCCTTTTAAACAGAAATATTTCAGTGCTAAGCCTTGATGCAGTTAAGTAACAGACGATGAATGAGGAACCTAACTTCAGTAACAGTTGAGCAAGAGGGGGGAAGTCCTAGTTTCTCTTAGTATTACACTTTGTACTTACCATAATCCGTGTTGGAGAATCCCTAAACCACTTGAAGAAAATAAGCACATATATATTCATGATAACAGGTAACTGAAAGGCACAGATTAGGTCAGTTTAGTACAGATTTCCCCACAGAACTCCTTCTGTTCAAGAGTGTTAGAGGCACAACAAGTAACTCCAATAACTCTTGACTCTTTCAAGCTACTTACAGAACTTCCTCAGAACTTGGATTTGGGTTAATAGAATATTCTTTTTAATACTATATACCTATTTAATTGGCCAGTTTTCTGAATATTTTCATTTCTGAAACTGTAGTAACAAAAATCTTCCTTAGTTATCCATCAACTTTTCTATAGTGAAGAATTAAGACTGACTAACGTGCAGGTCGCATCATTTTGTGTGTCTGTGTGTGCATCAAATTCAGCAAAGATTAGTCAGCTATTACTATTTACAAGTGAGGGACACCACTGCGAATCTGACAAAGTAGCACTTAAATTATCAACAAATGACAACTTTGGAGTGTTACTCTAAAGCCTACATAATTGACTGCAGCACAATTGAGTTTAGAATAGATGACAAAAATAATTATTTGAACGGATCAGCATAAATGCAGTGATATAAATGTCCATTTTACAAAATGGGCAATGGTCAGTTTAACTAACAAAACTGAATAATATTCTAAGTGGAGATGAAAAATATCACATTAGTTAGTAATGACAAATGTTTGATAAATACTAGATTATAACTGAAATATAAATTATTATTTAATAGTTAGAAGAGACAGTCAATCGTGTTGTTTTCCGTGATTGAGTGGCCATAGGTATACGGTATCTCTTATTCAGCAAAACTTTGAATATGCTGAATTGTAGTAATAAAAGAAAAGCCTCTGACATGAGTTTGTTTGGACCTTCTATAAAGAGGCATTTAGTGGGATCCTTTTGTTGAGTAAGGACCATTCCTGGTAAAAGTAAGAACTTTTTGTTTTGTTAGTAAGCAGCTTCTATTGAAAATCTTAACCGGTTTGGAACCTAGGCTTTTGCTCTTTTGTTCTTCCTTGGGTAACTTTACCAAACAATATTGCTATACTGCACCACCCTTCTTAATGCTTCCTTAATTTTCCATAGCAGGATTTAGCCTCCTACTAACCATTCCTGTCCAGTAGAAGCATAACAAAATCAATCTACAGGTAGCGCAGATTGTTCTTTAGGTTTATAGAGTGTTCAACAGTCTGAGCTTTGCCTTTTGTTGCAGCAGTAGCATACGTGGGTCTGAAAGAAAATGCATGAATGCTCTCAAGTATGTATAATGTATATAAAATCTAACTCTGAAAACAAGTTTTGTCTATGTTCTTTTAGTTTACTTAGGAAAGCTTTACAATCACCTTATGTCATATACCCGTATGTAACCACGGAGGAGGTAGTTGTTACCTAAAAGTCAATCAATAGTAATGGTATTCTTTTGCATAAATGCAAGGACAGCTTGTTAAAAATACACATTATGGCAGCCCAAAGGTGAAAACAGTTCAGATGAGCTATGTAATAACCAATTCCCTCAAGCATTACAAGACTTGCAATTTACTGCACTTCAAAAAAGTCTTTCATTCAATGAACTTAACGGGCACTATGATACTGAAACTTGTGTGGCTGCAGGTAGAATACTTTTGCGAGTATTTTTATTATGCCAACACAATGCATAAGTAAACAGCTGTTAAAAAACAAGACCTTTTTTTTTTTAACAAAATTTAGATGTTCACTTACAAGAACTATGCTCCATCAGTTTCTGTCAGGGCACTCATTAGCATGCTCTAACTACAGGACTTCTAACAGCTATTATCCATGCTCAGCTACTGAACAGTTGCTTTGTGCAAATCAAGTATTGCAGCTGTTCAGTACTACTAAAACTTTGATGAGCGGTACAATAATGAGCAACATAGCTAAATACCTTTTATGTTTTGAAATCATTAGACAGTTACTTCCTTTAAGTTTTGATAGATGATGTGGTGGCAATCTGTAGTGGCAACATCAGAACAAACTCATCTATACTGTTGCAACATTTTGTATTTCCCACAGGCAAAGGTGTTTAACTGAACAGCATGTAGCCACGTGGCATTAAATCTTCCTTAAATCACATTACGCTGTGAATACAATAGCTGGTCACGTGGTGTTTTATTTGCTGAAGTTCTGCATAATTCATTATGTAGAGTATTAAATTAAAATTACAGGTTAGTTTGTTTTGGGTTTTAAAAATAATCATCGATTTGTTTACCAAGAAGCTGTTTTACAGCTCAGTGTGATAGCTCGGTCACACCTTTCACTTTGCTGTTGGAGAAGTTTTTTTGGCAACGTTTTTAGCATGTGGCCAATACAGATTTATCTGGTTTATATGGATTTACACTAGAAACATCTACCACTTCTAAGGGAAATGCAGTACCTTGTCTTCTTCCCAACAGAAAATTCTAGTGGAGTGTTTTACTTGGCACAGTGATTTTTTTTAGGATTGCCAATTTTTAAACCCAACCAGTATTCAAGTGAGTGTGGGGTTTGTTTGTTTTTTGTTTAAATAAGAAGTATCTAAATTGGTGTTTTGTCAGAGTGCCACGCAGGCCTAAATAAAAGGCCAGAATCCCTTTTCTGCTGTGTCTGACAAAGGTGTTTTCACTTTTTCACAGACCATAGCCTCCTGACTAACACATCTTCCTACTTCATACTTCCCAAGAGTGCCCGTTTCAGCTGTCTGGAAATCTGTAAGCAACAAATGGATGGGGGAGGCCTGCAGACTCCAGAAGACTACGCGTTGATTTGGATTATGTACAGATGATGGTAAAAATGCTTCAGAGAAAGCACAGCCTGCAGAAGCCAGCAGCTGAGATCAAAGTGCTCTAACCTTTGTGGTGTGATAGTCTGGCTGCCAGGTTTGAGACAAGAGGGCAGGGCGGTATCAGGAGTGATGCGGTAACAGGCTACATGGGGCATGGGCCTGCTGCCTGACTGGCTGTGCCACACGCTTCTGAGCCACGGAAGGGATGAATGGGGGCAGGGGGGAGTCCGATCTAGCCTGCAGGCTAGTAGATGGAGGAATGGACATTTAAATGAGGAAAGCAGCTTTTCTAGAGAAGGCTGGTCTTTTAAAGCCTGAAAAAAACATTGTAAGAAGCCATAATGAATATTTACCAAAATTAGGCAGCCTGGAAGTCCTTTGGAACAGCTCACTGAAGAGATGTACAACTTAGCTTTAAGGCACCAAATAATGAGATGCCTGCTTATTATCTAAACTGGGAAGCATTTGGCTTTATACGAAAGTGGAATGGTATAAATTAAAGAAGTCTAAACTGTAAATCATGTAGTCAGTAAGAATAGTTAAAATCCTACATAGAAACGTATTAGACTGAAGGGGAAATCGTATGGTGTTCTCCTTTTTGTATGAATTCGTGATGGAGAAAATCATATTTGTTTAAAAACTAAAACAGAAATCCAAAGGTTAGTATCTGAATGCATGAGATGCCTGTATACCTTCCTCCACACAGGGTCAATCACAGAACATTTAGTGGTCTGATTAAAACTGAAAACTTAATCCATGAGCATAAATGCAGGTTTTCTATAATGTTGTCTAGCAAAATCCAAGTTTTTAGGTGACAAATTGGGAGAAGTCACTTTCAACAGTCCTGAGAAAGGACAGAGCTCAGGCTATACTGATGATGCTTTACAAGCAAAAGAAAACTTCTTTTCTATACTTCCAGAAGAACACTTTATACCACCCTTGCTGTTTTCGACTATGGGGTGCATGGGCTACGCTGTCCTAGATATATGGCTAGAAAGATTTCATATGCCTTTTTGCTTAACCTTAAAAGCCATCCAGTTAGCAACTAGATACTAGAAAACCAAGATGCATGGCTTTTTTAATACATGCACTTTTTTTTTTTTTTTTCTTTTACACAACTTCCTTCCTTTCTTGAGCAAAAGCTTCTAGGGGAAGGCTGCAGAGCTTGTTCAGGATTCAGTAATACAGCTCTCGAGTATGTTTTTAAGGTTCTCCATGGTCTGTCTGCCAGGTTCATTTGTGTTGCGTAGTTTATACTTCTGTTGCCTCTTTGAAGAGAGCCAATCTTATGAGACTTCAGGTGGAGGTAAACAGTTATGTGGGTAGGACCTTGACTCTTTCAGCCTACTGCCTTCCCCCCCGCCCCATTAAATCACTGCCTGGTTGGTATGTTTGGTGCCAAGTGTTCTGACTGCTAATCCCATACCCTGGACCTCTACTGTCAAGAGATGAGGAACCAGAAATATTTTACATACTAAATAATTACAGAGATCTAGCTAATATTTAGTACTCATTTAGTACCTACTGATCACCTAAAATTGTTTTGGATGAAGATGTCAGTTGAGTGGATAACATAAAAAGTATTATCAAAAGTTTTATGTGCTAACATAATTGCTAGGATTTATAGCAACAAGTTGCTAATCTTGAAATAACGACTGGATGAGATCAAAAGAGAGAGGGGTAGCGCACACACTACACTGTACATAAATGTGGCAGATTCCTCCACTACAAAAGTGGTAACTGCATTTTGAAAACTTGTTTGTCAGATATGGCATGGATCAAAATGCAATACAGCTTTTTTTTTTTTTTTTAATAGAATCCTGCAATTCCTGTGAAATGGAAATGATTTTAACAACTTTCTTATTGTCTATTTAATTGACCTCTTTGGCAGTTATCCCAGATTTCAGAATTTCAGCTGTTACTTTGTTTGCAATAGTTTCACCTTTTTCTTCCCTAGTATTTATACATACTGTAAGCTGGATGGTTAATTTAC